GCAGACAGTCATTCCACAGCCTGTACTGGTGTATGATGCTGCTCCTCCACAGCTGCAGGACTTGGCAGTTGCCTTGCTTGAATTTCATGAGGTTTCTGTTGACCCATTTCTCCACAAGGCCAAGGTCCTCCTGAATGGCAGCACAAACAACTAGTGTATCAACCACTCCTGCCAGTTCTATGTCACTGGCAAACTTGTTGAGGGTGTGTATTGCTCCATTGTCCAGGTCATGAGTGAAGACGCTTAACAGTATTGGTTCCAGTATTGACCACGGAGTAGAGACTGCCTTCCAGATGGACTTTGTGCTGCTGCTTTCCTAGCCTCGTCCCGGTACCCTTGGACAATGTCTCTATATTCCTCCTGCGTCACTTGACCCTGCCTGTACCTCTTCTATGCTTCCTTTTTATGTCTGTGTTTAGTCAGGAGTTTGTTCATCACTCATGCAGTCTGCCTGCCACCTTTTCTTGCGTTCCTGCATGTCAGATGGGTCATTCTTGAACTTGGAGGAGGTAATTCTGGAAAATCAACCAGTTCTCCTTGATCAGTCTTGTCTCCAGGACTGTTTCCCCTGTAATTCTTTCAAGCAGATCCCTAAGCTCTTCCTTGAGCCCTTCACCAGTAGGACTGAGGAGAAAACCACCTGGGCCCCTGTGCTCTTGACCGTCACCCCCAGCGCCGTGTAGTCATGCTTGATATGCTCCAGGTCTCTGCAGGCTGTTTCAGTGATGCCTGATGTGAAAGAGTAGCATGGTGTAATAGTCCAACCACTGAACAAGCTTCAGCAGTCTCTCCAAAATGTACTAGATTGGAGTCCCTGGCAAGCATCAAGCTGTCCTAGACAGCAGGTCAGGCCAGCAGATTGGGACCTCCATCCCTCACAGGGAGGGAGTCTCCTACTACTACCACTTGCAGCTCCTTCTTGGTGTTGTCATAAAACTGATGGTTCGTGTATACTGTTTCTATATTAAATGGATTTACTTGTGTGAGTAGTACACAAGTTTGAGCAAGAAGTTGACGCGCTTTCTTGTAGAATGTAAAAGTTGGTTTTTTACTTAGTGTGGTGGGTTACGCACCTAACCTCAGGTGTCCAAAATTCTCAATTGCTTCTGATGAATACATATGAAGTAGTCAGTGTTTCTATTACAATCTGCTGAAACTAATTTCTGTAGGAAGTTGACTTTTTGTGTGAAAGGAACAACAGATAATCACCATGCATTGTAACAATGAACAAACCTTTAGCAATGGTCTCAGAAACAATGTCATGCCTCTCTCTTCTCCCTCTATTTTTATCTTTTGTTTTCATTAGTTGAAAGAATTCTCAGTGTCTTGTTTAGAATGTGAAAGTGTGGTGATGTGCAGTTATGGGGCAGAGGAAGAAACCGCAAAGACAGTTACTCAAATGGCAGTGGCCTTAATGGCTTCCCCTCTGATTTCCAGTGTTCGTAATTTTGTGCTATAAAATTTAATTTGTGTTTGAAATTTTGACTTGGATGCAAATAATTTGAGAACGTATCATCTGAATGGGATCGGATCATAGGTCTATCTAGTCGTGTTTTGTCTTTGACAGCGGTTACTGGAAGACGTCTAAGAAAAAGTGCAAGAATACAGTGCCTTGTAATACTTTTGTGGCATACTTCCACAGCTTCTGCTAAATTTTACTGTTCAAGGATTTCCAGAGCCAGAAGTGATTATCTTGGTGGATATTTTTTTTTCCCTTCCATTAGTTCTCCAATCCTTAAATCAACCAAACAATTGCGTGAGAATCCTTTCCAGATGTGATCTTGGAAAAATGAGTGGGAATTGGCCACTCATGTAATTGCAATTTATGTAGTTCGTTATGTATCTGGAGGCCTGATCTGTCCATTTTTGAAATAGAGCAAGTCATTAAAGAGAGACCTGCTGGTAGTTTTCCAGAAACACAGGTTGCCAGTAGTTTAAGGCTCTCACTTCAAACATGTGGTCTGCTGAGAAGAAAATTCAGACCTTCACACAGAACAAGAGAGCTTTTTTTTTTTTTTAAAAAAACTTCTACCTCCTCATGTTGCTCAGAACAAAGTTAAAAAATGGCCCTTTTAAATCTTGTAACTAAGAAATTAATTTGCAGAAGTTCTGATTTGTGAAGGATAAGGATTTTTGTATAACTAGTAATTTCACAAGGAATTTGGAAAAAGAACTATTATTAATAAATTTAATTATATTAATACCAGCTATTAAGCTATTATCGAACAATTAGTTTTTCAAAATGGCTACAAAATTTTGATTGTAAAAAAAAATCAAACAGGAACAATTCTTCCCTGCTTCTCAGGACTTCCAGGAACAGTTATCTTCCCTGCTTTTCTGTAATTATTAACACAAAATGACTGGGAAAATATTTTGCTGCAGTTGTTTATAAGACTGTTAGCCTAGTACCAGAATCCCAGTGCCTGACACTGTAAAAATGAAGCTGTGAGAGTTCTGTAAGTCTCTGGAGACTGTGGTGTCATGCATTAACTGGCCTTAATATATGATTATAATAGATGATTGAGAGGAGAAGGGAGACTAGGGAGTGAATAAATATGGCCAACAGATCTCAAAGAGCTGCTGGCAAGTGGCCCTTGTACTCTTGCAGTTTTTGTACTGCAGTACAATGACTCTGAGCAGTGCTGGCTTTTTCGTCTCTGGAGGTGAAACATGGAATTTTTCAGGCAGCTGTGACTGGGATTGGTTTGTGATTTACCCAAATGCCTTTGTAATGATGTAATGCTTAGATTCCTGTGGCTAGTGAATGGAACCAGAAGGCTTGTGTGGATGGATTAGGCATGCACAGCTCTCTACAGCACATCATCTCAAATTCTAGCACAGTAGTATGAAAGCATAGACTGATAATTGTCTTCCACATGGGAAAATATCTGATGCATATATTACAGGTTTTTTTATTCATGAAGAATTCTCAAAGCAGACCATTCTGAATATTGATGAAGGAGCATTCTGTGGTACACAAAGAGAACCGCTACAGCGTAATTTAGCACTCCGTTTTGTGATCGCCTGTAGATGATGCCGCTGGAAATGTTGGTAGGGGCTACTGTGTAGCTAAAGTGTAACTAGGCTTGCTGGGAAATATTAAGTGCCCTAATCTGGTTTCCAAGTGGGAGATACATTAGCACATTATGTATGTAGAATTTAATAGTGTGTAGTAGTATGTGATTCCCATTGCATTGAAATTGAAGGAGGAACAAGTTTCTTCTGGTGGAAGGGACTTGAATCTCTTTCTCTGTTCCTTTTAATGGCAAAAGAGCGATAAAAACCCATGTCCTGTTTGTTTCCTGAAACTGACTGGATAGAAAGATGGATCAATAAGACGTAAATCAGGGGGAACTTCATGGGGCTGGTGAAATCTTGCTGTATACTTGGAAGAGGGTTTTTGCTTAAGACTGACCTTGCCAGTGATCTGTTCCTGGGACAATTATCTGAAAACTGTGATATCTTGTAGCTTACTTAAAAGTGTTAAAAGTAGTAGTGTACTCACAATTTGTGCCACATGATGATAGAATCCAGGCTGCTCCACAAACACACTGCCTGAAGAGTTGAGTGGGTTTATCTCTGGGCTCAGTCAGAGCTGCCTGGTCCTCAAAACGTGCAATTCACCTGTGAAAATCAGATACCTCCAGAAAAACTAAAATAACTTCTAGACTGTCTTGCTCTCGGGCTGCATGGGTTAATTACGTAACCTTTGAGATTGTGGGAGCAGAAATAGACAAAAGTATAGGTGGGAGAGGCTATATAAGCTAAATTTAATTGCTAAAGAGAAAATATTCACTCAGTGCTGTCAGGGGTGACTTAGAAATTTTCAGTCCCCTCTTTGTGCTTCTACAAAGTTTGACTAAGTGTAAACTGCATTTTTTTATGGTTGTTTAGGCATTACTGAATTTTTCTTGCATGAGGCTTTTTTTATATCAACAATACATTTTCACTTAGTGTGAACCTCATCCTTTTAAGAGCAATAACAAGTCTTTCGAAGTGTCTGTTTTATATCTAAGGGAAAGATTCCAAGTAATATTATCCTATATTTTAATTTTGTGAATATTTCCTCTAGGACTTTTCCAGTTTAATTGTAATTTATATATATTTTTGTTAGCTATAATGGCTCCTTGCTGTTAGAAGGTACACAATGGTACTCATCATCTGTGCACTGAAGTACAGTGCACAGAAGTCTAAGAGCAGCAGTAGTTAACAGAATACTTGAGTGTGGTGAAAAAACAAACATGGCAGAGTGGTCTGCCCAGGTCGTACATTTGCATGTTCAGGTGAGCGCTCATAGTTTCCCTGTGACTGTTCAGGACAGAGTGTTTTTTAGGAGTGAATGAGTGTACCCAATGAAGAGAAGAAGAAAAAGAAAAATAAATCCTGCTCCAGAAAACCTTGGGGTCAGGGATATGGAGGAAGCATGGCAGTTCATGCAGGTGATCCTCAGTGGGAGAAAATTGAAGAGAAATACTTGCCACATCAAACAAAAAGAAATAGTAGTCTGTGCACTGAGGAGTGGGAACAAAATCCTTAAGAGGATGAGATATGTGGTAAAATTCAGTAGAGTAGGACCCTGGGTTCTGGGATGTAATTGATTTCAGGAGAAAAGGGTAGACAATAGGTTTGCTTATATTAGTGATATTTGATCTATTTTGGTTTTAATAGAAACCAAATCTCTCTAAGGATCTTTCATTCTCAGTGCCTGGATGTGGTTTATTGGCAAATAAGAAGAAATTGAAGTAGCATTTTCTGATGCCAGACAGGATAAAACTCTTGTCACAGGGGTGGTGTTAAACTAGTACTTTATATACAAGGAAGCATAAACATTTCAGTGTGTGTGTATAAAGGATGTAGGAAGAGTGCATTAATTATGGAGATAGTAAAAGAATAGTTGGATAAATAGACACATGTAGAATTTGAAGTGTTTGTTGCCTTTAAAAGGATAACATTTCATTTTAATGCTACAAATACTTTTCTGTTATTTTTAACAGACTCTGAAGGCAGATCCAGAAGAACTGTTTACAAAACTGGAGAAGATTGGTAAGGGCTCTTTTGGTGAAGTTTTTAAAGGAATTGACAATCGGACTCAGAAGGTGGTTGCTATAAAAATTATTGACCTAGAAGAAGCAGAAGATGAAATAGAAGACATCCAACAAGAAATCACAGTGCTGAGTCAGTGTGACAGTCCATATGTAACTAAATATTATGGATCTTATTTAAAGGTAAGATACTCACCCAGGATGGTGATTTGATTTTATAAGTGATTCTTTTCCAGGTTATCCAATCATGCCTGGTTTTGTTGGCAATGTTTCAATCAGACTTCAGTTGAAGAAAAATATATTTTTGTCCTTTCAATTCTACAGAAAGAATGAGCTACTATATTTTAAGTATGTGACAGAACTTAATAGAAAAAAAAGTAGGTGTCTTTTGCTATTTCTGTACAAAAATAAATAAATTTAAATAACATCTGTTTTTTAAGCTCTAATACGTTTAGATTGCCTTAATATTAGGAGAATGTAACTCTAACTTGTTTAAATTCAGAAAATATAACCTAAATCTGCATTTGAATTGTCAAAACATTAAAAATAATGTAGTATCAGCTATTTTGTAAAGCTTGAAAGTTTCTTTTGTTAAGGTTTGATTAGTGGCAAAGCTTAGGTTGCTTTTCAAAGGAGACTGAACCCAGCCTTGATTGGAGTGAGTTAAAAACTGAAATCTAGAAGTTAATTAATTTGCGCATTAGCAAGCAGCACATTAGCTGTAAGTGAAGCTAATGGAAGGGGTTTCCATTAACTGCCTTCTGAATCTGTTTCCCTTCCCTTCCTCTGCCATATTAATTAATTTCAGGGTTCAGTTTTAAATGTGCCAGGTAGAGGTGTTAGGTTTTTTTGTTTTTAATTGAATGGATATAGTGATTTCTTGCCTCTAGGAGGTAGTGAAAATACCTGGGAGCTTTTGGTACTACTTTATTTGTTTGGTCAGACTTTGCCCCATCTGGATAGCTCTTTCTTTTATGACAGTGAAATGCCAATGTACATAAGAGATTGTTCTCTTGACAGGGTTTGAAGTTACAAGTAGGCAGGAAATACTTCAAAATTAATTTTCAGTCTGCTTTTGCTTTTGTGGAAGCATTCTACTTCATCAGCAAAGATGTGAAGTTTCTGGAAGGGGAACCCTGTTTTATCTCGGTATTTCTGAGGTTGCTAGTTAGTTTCCAAGGAAAAAAGGACTTTTTCTGAATCCAGGAGATGCATTACTGAGGGGACAGCCAGTTTTTCCTTTCTTCCTTGTGCTCTGAACCGGTTTGCGTGGACAGCTTATCACTGAAGGCTTTGTGAATGGTTTCAGACATGACAACTTGTCACCGGTACTGGACTTAGAAGTTATGTATAGTTTAGATCTCAGAGGCATCAGGAGGCACATAACTGAGCACAGTAAACTGGATAAATTTTTCATCGTGGCTTTTATTACGTCTTTTGAAAATGCTCAGTCTAGGTTTGGTAGTTAAGTATGGCAAAAAGGTAAAAGTGGGATTTCTCTCCTGGACTGTCTCTCTGCTTCAAATCTGTTAATTTTAGAGAAGGAACAGTAAGATCTTATAGGGTAAGTGAAACAGAATACAAGAAAAATGGTTAGAAGTTTGATGAGAATGCCACTCCATAGTTTTAAAAATGTATAGTAGCAATGTGGCTGAAAAAGAGAATCCAGTGTCCAGATTTGAACTGAGTGAACGTCAACATTTTGTGAAGGTAGTATGGCAAATGTGGCTTTTCCTAGTTGAAGAGGAGAGGAGACTGTAGGGCTCAGTCGCCTGAATGGGTTTGGTTGGATAGAAGTGTCATTAGTGATTTTTGTGCTTATTGTTGCGAGGAGGACCCTCTGAAAATACTTGTATCTTCCTTGTATCTTCCTCATTCCTTCTGTCAAGTGCAGTAGCCCGTCAATTTTCTAAGATGCCTCACTAACAGCGGCTGTGTATGACTAGGTTGATTCTGGAGGAAAGTACAACTCTTTCTACACCTAGTAGAATGTACAGCTACTCATGTTTATTCATTACCTCAGTTCTTTGTGAATATGTCTTTTACTACAGAACTTTTGATCTTTGAAACAAGAAACTAATTTCTTTACACTACTAAAAAGTAACATGTAGTGGTTATTAGGTGATGCTGAAGTGACAGAATCTTTGCAAAGGAAACATTTTTAAGTTCTATTGGCTTTCTAAAGTAGGAGTCAGGTCTTGTTATTGGATAGTAATAATATGTCATTGTATATATACATCCACACACACTCTTAAAAAGGGTCGTATTAATGTTTAAATTAATAGGTTAATGTTCTTGGCTAGGAATCTAGGTTTATTTGCTGCAGAGCTTTGTTGTATTTGCAAGCCAGGACTGCCATATGTAGTTCTAAGGGTTGGACTGTCTTTTAACTCTGTTTCTGACTGTGTTCAACAAGGATGTTCAACACATTAGTTTTCCATGTGATTAGGAGACATTATTTCTTCCATGATTGGAGAGTTTGTCACTAATTACAAGAAAGATATTAATGTGTTCTCACAAAATGAACTTCTTTGAAGTAAGCAAGTGGGAAAATGGTAGGAAATCTCCTTTGGGACACTGCAGACCTCATGATTAATATTTCACTTCTCTTTCTAGAACAAGTTTATGTAATTGTAGAATACTTGCTCTGACATCCTTTAAAATATTTGACAGGTTTTAAGAGGCATTCTGCATTTTTAGCAAAGGTGATTAATGGGCATTGCTATGAGGACTTCTGTATTTTTAAAGATTCTCTAGGTAGCCAGAATGTTTTGGGGTTGGTTAGTTTTGGTGTTTGTTTTCTCTTTTTTTTTTTTTTTAAACACTGTTAATCCATACCTGCTTCAATTAAGCTACATGACTAAACACACCAGTGTGTTAAGGGACCTGTGAAATTGAAATTTTAGAAGGCTTATATAGTGCTGCTGTACTTGCCTCAGGCCACTTGCCGTCTTCAGACGGTACTCGTGAGAATAGCCTGTCGAGCTCTTGGTGTCTACTGCATGATATACATGCAAATACAGCTTGAAATTAGTATCATCATTTAATGAGTTAATGACACTTACTTTGTCCTAGAACTTTACTTTAAAAAAAAAAAAAAATTTATCTACTTTTTAGAGTAGGATGATATACCCAAAAGCCTTATTAAATTTTCCTACTCTAAAACTTTGTTGTATATTCTAACTTCATCTTTTCAGAAATGTGTTTGCTTGATAGCAATTTTTTTTCTTCATATTCAGAGACCAAGCCATATCAACAGTAGTGAAGTGGGTACTAGTTTAGGTTGTCGTCCTGAATATAAATTAATTTTCGGAACATCTTTTTGTCAGAAACCTTAAGGTCTTTATATAAAACAGAAATGCAAATACTCCTTTGTAAAGCCACACTTTAAAATACGATGTCTTAATGTTACCGTTCTATTGAAACAAAGGGCTTTTGTCTACTGTAGGAGATAGTAGGTAACTAGAATGTTGCTCTTAAAGCATATCACAACGACATGGTTTATATGGGTGCATGTGTCTAGAGGGATTGCTGTTCCTTATCTGCCATGGCATGTTAAAAACCTGTATCAATGTTCCTTAATGAAGCAGGCTTAACAAAATAGGTGGTAACTCCATTATTTCTCTCTGCTTTGGGAACCATATCTGTCCTTGCTGTCTTCCAAATGAAAAGTTTATCTGTGCCATCTATGATCTGATTAAATGCTCCACGGACAGAATAACTATAGTTCTTCTTAGATCCTTACAAAATTCATTCATGAAACTTCTCTGGGTCTGTTTACTTCTTTAGATTTTAGGTAACAGCATCCACTGCTTACTTAGTAATGGAATAGGGTTTCTTTGTGTTTCTTGTTAGATTAATTATAATTTTTTTTATAAAATTGTCTGGAGTTGTTTGCTGTCTCTTCTGAGTTTTACCATACTGTAACTCTTTTAAAGTATTGCTGTGCTTCTTATTCTAAAAGTTTTTCTGTCTAGGAGCCTGTCAGCTGTGCTTTTTGCATCTCAGTCTACTAAACCAGTTTTTCAAGAGCTTAGATTTGGTTCTGAAGTTGTTTATCTTGTCTTTTTTAGGCCAAGTTGTTTGGAATCTGTTTCATTTCCAAGACTCAGATGCCTCTCTGATAATGTTTCTTCAGTTTTGTTAATAACTGTAATTACTACTTTATTATAACTTTATAACATCTTCATATTTCTTCGATCTTGTATTATTATTTAGAAATATGTAAGAGAAAATTAATTTGTCTTTAAATGGTTGAAGAATAAAATTTCTTGGCTTTTTTGGCGTGTATGTATGTCATGTGACATACAATGAAGAATAAAGAATCTTGGCTTTTTTTGCATATATATGTATGTCACTCAAAGCTGAGGTTAATATATGTATATGGACAAAAGCTGAGATCAATGTGTTTACGTATACATTAAAAAGTCTTTAAATTCTTTGTCTTAGACTTCTATACATGTGAATATAGTGGTAGAGCAAATGATCACAAAGTAGTTTCAACATCCAATATAACTAGGTACAAGTAATATTGAACTGGTATCAAGCTAGTCTTGTAAGTATTTTAAAAAATATTACTGTCTCTAAACTCATGTTTCTTCATCCTTCAGATGTATTTTTCTAGCACACTTACAGCTTTTGGGATATCCTCTTTTGTACTGTTTAAACTTTTTGACCCAATCAAACTTCTGGTTTATTAGCCCATTTCTTTTACCCAGACAACTTACCATTCTGCAAAAGTATTTTAAGACTTCTTTATTAAAAAAAAAAAAAATGTTTGTAAGAGGAACTGATGCTGATAAGGTTCATAAGGGATAGCTGCTGATAATTTTCATTTTAGCCTTTATACCTGTATGGGTTTTTATTTCATGTCTAAGATAGAATATACCTACTGCTGTAAGTCAGGCTGGTGTTTATATAGACTGGAAGAAAACAGAAAATAGCTTCTGGTTAAATTTATGAATGACACAATATACCCTTGTGAAAAAACACATGCCATTTCTATGAAGTTTGTTTCACTGAGCTCTACAGAACAACGAGTTCATGCAAATCAAGTCTAGAAATAAAGATTTATTTTTGAAAAGCTGTGATTCTGAAACTAATGTATAGTTTATTTTAGGTAATCAGATGAACATGAGGTTGGTAACGAATGCTGTGGCTGAGCCAAAGCAAATCTTCTGTTG